TGTAGTGATATGAAATGATTCACTAATGTAAATATTCCTTTTTTATACTTTTTATAATAAAATTATTTATCAAAAGAACTTTTACTTAAGTTACCCATTCTCTTCATATCTTTTAGCAATAAAACCTCAATTTTCACTATAACATTTTTTTATTCAAAAATATAATAATCTATTACACGGACAATAATTATAGTGAGATATGAGATATGGACACATTCACACCATATACCTTATACAAGAAACATAAAAAAAGGAAGCAAAATAACAACTAAAAAATAAACAAAAGGTATATACAATAAAAAATAAAATAACTTAAGCTAAGTAAATTAACAATATAAAAAGTCACACCTACTGTAACTAAATGAAATTATATGATAAAATGTTTAAATATGAAATTATTTATCTATATCATAAGGTATAATCTAACATTTTACTTGATAATTCATGGTTATTATATGATTCCAAAACCTATTTTTATTAATGTTTATAATGACAAAACAAAAAAAAAAATAAGAAAAATAAATCTTTTTGATATTACCAAACATTTTAATTTCAAGAATGAAAAATTTAAACGAAAACTCAGACGTAGTAAGTTTAACATTAAATTATACAAAATTTCAGCACCAAGTCATAATAAATTAAAAAAAAAAACAATGAAACCTGTAAACTAGCATTAATTAACTATAATTAATTATAAGAATGAAAAAATATTAATGATTTATGTATAATAAAATAAAGATATTTTAATTTAATAAATTAGTTAATATTTAGTAAAGGATAAATAATTGAAATGAGATGTAAAATAACTTCGAAGATACAGGTATTTAAAATATTTTAAACATAAAATGTTTAGTGTCTAAAATACCGACAACCAAGTAATCCTTCAACGTTTCACCAAACTTCTAGTGATTTCAGGACAGAAGAGGTAATATTATGTAAACTTATACCAAATGTAGCACATTTATTATCAACAGAAAAAATACGCCTAATTTAGAGACATCGTTCCAAGTCTTCCAAACATATATATTTGTCACCTGTGCAAAGTGTGTTAAATGCAAAAATTATATTTATGGAAAAACGAAATCGGTGGGGATTTTCATAGGAGAAAGTTCGATTTTTGAGTTTCAACCCATGAATCATAATGGGATGTTCGTCTCTATAATAGCCGCATAACTTAGCCCTTCATAACTTAATAATCAGATACAAAGAAAGCAAGAAAAAAAATAAAATAAAATAAGCTTCCAGGTGTCACAGATATGGGGGCGGGGTGGCCGAATAGGCTAAAGCGTGTGCACAGCACCGCTAGTTGCCTGGCAACCGGATAACAGAGATTTGAGATGATATAAAAAGTACGAGTTCGCGTCCCGGTGCCGGAGGGGATTTTAAATTCCCCGCCCTCACTCCCCCCTCCCCCCAAGGCCCGGGAAAATCCCGTATAGCCTAAAAGGCGAGGTAGGGAAGAACAAAACAGAACAAAACAAAACAAAAACAAAACAAGGTGTCACAGATATGGACTTACATATGTAAGACATATTATCGTTTTATTGTTTTGATCCATATGAAAAATTTAAAGTCAGCTCACATACTCTGAAAACCACTAAATCTATCCATTTTTTTTTTTTTACAAAGATTTTATTCATTTTTTTTTAAATAAAACTAGACAAAGTTTTATTATTCTTAAGGAATACTGGGTCAGTAATTAAAGTACCAATCGATGGGCGTTTTTTTTTTTTTTATCTTTGTATTTCCTTTATACTTGTAAGACCGTGATAACAGACCTTCTTCAGTGAAAAGGTCCGTAATAAAGAACAGAAATCGAAAATGTTGAGGTTAAACTTAATTTATATTGAATATTTAATAGTTGACCGTAGCATTATAAAGGAAGGAGATGGTCCGGGGTGGCGGTCATACATAAGATAAATAGTGTAAAAACTGTTTTATTAAATTCCAAAGTTTCGACCCAACTTCGCAGGTCTTCTTCACACGTTTTTAATATATTTCTTATCGTAAACATTAAAAAAAAAAAAAAAAAAATCAACCTCCGTTCAGTGAAATTCAGTTTGGTCTGATTAGCAAACACTATTCTGGAACAAGTGAACGGGGAAGGTTGAGACCGTAATGGGCTGCTAAATAGGACTTTCACCCTCCTGCTTTGCAGCGATCTCGTATCCTTACAGGTCCTAGGGTACTTATTATGTATCCTATATCAGAGCTAACATTAACATTGGGTGGAAATCACAGTATCACTCACGTTGCTAGATCGTTAGGTAGTTACTCTGGTATGAACAGACACACATATAAATAGTAATGTTACTGATTCCGCATTCCTCTGTCCACTCAGTAAATACCAGATCCCATATAGACAACATTGTTTACTTTGCTGAACCCTTCATTATCCGGATTAATTACCATTTATTTATTTCTCAATCACTGTGTAAATTAAAACAATAGTTTAATAACTACATATTTAATACTTATTTCCTTAGTGCCTCTGGTGAGTATTTTTATTCTTTATGGTTAATAAAAATTATACGTCGTTAATTAAGATATTAATTGCAGTCATAGCAATCTCAAACAACATGCTGCAATTAAGTCATTCTGAGAGAAAAAAAAAACAAAATCAAAATAATTTTCTTTTGTTCATTAGTTATCATAATGTTAAAAACATTTTTTTTTTTAAAAGGAGAACATTAATAAAGGACTGACTCTATTCGGCTTCACAATCTTCATACTTGTTTTCGCATGTTTACCAATATTTTAAAATTCATGACAAATAAAAGGTTTAAAAAAAAAAAAAAATTAGAGTGGGGTAGCTCAGTAGTAGGGTGCCGAGCTTCAAGGTTCCAGATTCGATTCCAGGCTCATAGCAGATAAATAATTTATTCTGTTTCATCGGCCGTGGGTTGATCCTGGGGTCAAGATACCCACCTGGAGCACCCAACCTCCATGAAGTGACTAATCATAGGGAACAAATAATAGGGAACAAATAAAATAAATAGGATGAAAAGCTGACGAGATCTTGTGCAAATCTCAGTAGACCAAAAAACGGTTCTTTCCCTACAAAATACTGAACCCAAGACCCTTTATTGGTTATAGTGGTACAGGCTTATAGTTTTTATTTATTTATATAAAAAAAAATTAAATTTACGATCTTCAAAATATAAAGCTTGGCAAGTAAATCATTAAAAAATCTTAATTACCAAAATAAACGTACACATTGTATGTATATATATATATATATTATATATATATATATATATATATATATAATATATATATATATATATATATATATATATATATATATATATATATGTATATGTATATATATATATATATATATATATATATATATATATATATATATATATATATATATATATATATATATATATATATATATATGTGTGTGTGTGTGTGTGTGTGTGTGAAACATCATAAAACTAAAAACAAGGATCACACAACACATCAGTAATAATTACTGATGCATAGAATTCCGAAACCAACCAAATCAATCATCAAAATTAAACTATTATTACTAATTAATTGATATAAATAATTACACTTTAGAGGAATGCTGTTATTTAAATAGAAAATATAATTAAATATTCAATGAAATGATACTGTCAAACTTCAAAAATCTACCAAATATTAATTCGCTAACAGGAAATGTCCGCGCGTAATGCGCTTTGGTGTTTGTAACAATTGAAGGCGCTGATAACAGCTTCTACTAAAAAATAATATTTTGACAATAAAATTGTACTAAATATTATTAGAGAACTATCGTTATCACATCACGTCAGCAGCTATGACACTATTCTTTTCAAGCAAGCATGAAAACTTCGTTTTGTTAACAAAATCAAAATGTAAGTAAAACAAAAAAAAAAAAAACATAAAATCTCATTATTGCTGTACCATGTTGTACTAAAAAATAGGAGAAAGTAGAATGTAAGCCTATAAAAACAAATGAGCTGAAATTCTGTATGTAGAGTGGTTATGAAAGCAGAGAAATTTTGGGTAAATTTCGTTTTAATGGTGTTTCTAGTTTTTCACTATTTGTGCCGCTGCAGGGATAGAAGTGCTGTGATCTTCTGGAGTCTTGCTTCGACTTTCACTATATAGGACAGGATCTTTTTTTTTTTTATACTTAAATTTAGTTATATTTTTTAGTTATCTACTAATTTGGATATAATTGTAATTTATTTATAAATATTATTTTATTTGTGATGTTCATATATTATTTTACTTTTTTATTACTATTATTTTATATTTGTATTTTAATTTTTTTTTTTACTTCATTATTTATATTTTCTTATATGTGTTGTATTGTATGAATGGATATCTTAACTAATATTTATTAGCCTTAAGTGTGATAGATTGTGTACCAGTCAATAAAAAAAAATAAAAAGTGTTTTCCTCTTTTTTAGAGTTTCTTAACAGCCCCTCGAAGTAAAAATGGCTGTAATTTTTTATGTAAATCAAATTGGTGCTGAAGAAGTACTTTTGTGAGCTCTTAACTTTTTGTCTGACCTCCGTAAAGTTTGTAGCAATGATTACAGAGTTTTAATTTTCCTTCGCAAAAAATTTAATAATAGGTACAATTTGCAACGTTTTAAAATTTTAATCGATTTAATTCTTTAAGCATAAATAAAACATCTAAACAATTTTACATTTTTTTTCTAAATAAAAACAAACTGTTGAAAATATGATTTTCTGCTCACGCTATACGCACAAATTTTTACATAAAATTGTATGGACCTTTATTATTGAATAGTTGAATAGGATTTAGGTTAAAAAAACTAATGACCACTGTACTATACCACATGGACGTAACAGTATTTTTTTCAACATCCATGTATTCACTTTTACTTTCAAAATAAATATAGACTGTAAAATTTTCTAATCAAATGGGAGGGAGTTAATTACAAGGTCATTAAGTATATATAAGGGTGAAGAGAGAATGTCAGAAACAAATCTGAACTTATCAGAGGCCTAACAACATGCACAAGGTTATTATAAAATATTAATAATTATTTTAATTAATATTGCATAATTTTATATTAATACAATTTATGCCCCTACTAAAAATATTAAGGTTTTTTTCTTACAGATAATCTTATTTTTCTGCCTCGTCGTTGTGGCGCTGGCCCAATACCACCATGAGGAGAAAGAACACATCGTGGACTACTATGTAAGAAATAATTATCCTTTTTATACATGACTGTTTCTAAGAAATATAATCATCTCTTTTCTAAAATATAGAATAGTATAACAGTTTCGTTTAAAAAGTTACTAAAAAGAAAGTAATTTTAATTTTAATTTAATTTTAATTTTAATCATAGTTAATTCCAAAAATAACAATAAATTCAGGGGATATCTATTAATATCAAGAAGTTCGAGAAAATGAGTAAGTTTTCTTAGCCATGGTTTTTATATTAAATCTACAATAGGTCATTCAATGATTGATTAAACCATTAAAAAATATATAACTTCCTTTAAAAAATAAGGGGAAAGTTTAATTAAGGTCGTTAGGATGGTATGCAAAGTTGCTCCTCCAAATAAAAATAATAAAAAGGACACCTTTCAGCCAATATGATCGCAAAATACTTGGCGGAGTATACTCAAAGTAGCCATTAAGAATTGAGTTAGTAAGGAGATAAACGAACTGTTTTAGTTTACAATAACGTTATTGTTTCATAGAAGCGTTTCTGCAATCAAATTAGCTGATAGGATTCTTTTTTTATTGAGTTTTATTAAAGTATCCTATTTTGACGGAATGTGTAGTAAGAGGAAGAAGTATGAATACCAAGCCTAAAAAAAGAAAGGCAAAAATTGACATTTTTATAAATATAAAATCTATAAATATAGCAACACAATTGCATTAAATAATACATAATACTACAGAAAAATCTACAGTACATTTTTTTTTTGTTCAAGGCTCAACCCAAGTACAAGTTCGACTACAGCGTCCATGACCCACACACTTACGACGAAAAGAAAGTTGAAGAACACAGGGAAGGAAAGCACACCGAAGGTTCCTACAAATTCAAAGAAGCCGACGGAAAGAGCGAGAGACACGTACACTACACCATCGAATCCGAACTTAAGAAAAAACATTATTAAAAGTCGCCATTAGAATCTAATTATTTATTAAAAATGCTTTGTTAATTAAATAAATATTTTTATAACTTTCAAATAGACTGATATACCAAATTACCCAGAATGTGGAAATCTGATAACGATTAATATTCTAAAAAAAAAAAAATGATTCATTATACCATAAGAATGGTTGTGCAGTTAATACCTTGAAATAAAGGTACTTGGAATTCATTACGACTAGATTATGAACGTAACCCATAGCTACTCGATAATGGATCGACTTTCACCTGAATATGCTCATTGTTAGTGTTCACCATCAGAATTGTGTGCACTGAAAACAATGCACCGAAAAAAATTAATTAATTGTCTTAATACTAGCTTGGTTAAAGCGTGGACGCGGTTGAGAGTGTATCGCAGGGATCTCTTGGAGTCCTGTTTTTCCTTCTATAGTTGGAGGGAGAAGCCTGGCTTGGGATTCCCTGCCTAATTGTATATATTGTATATAGATGTGACTGAGTTTTTATGTTTTATAATTTACTTATCTTTGGGTTATTTTGTTTTTTTATTGTTCATAGTTTTTGATCATTATTTTGCTTTTGTTAATTTTATATTTTCTGTATGTATATGGTGTGAATATATCACTATAATTATTGTCCACGTGACAGATTATTATATATCTAAATAAATAAATAAAGTAAATTGTCTAAAAATTACATGTAACTATACAGCAAGTAGAAGATATTGAAAATATAAATCATGAACATTAATTCATTATGAATATGAATTCGGCAAAAACACACCTAAAAATACTAACTTATTTTTTTTTTTAAAATCATTATTTTAAAACTAATAGAAGACGAACCCTGGCACGTAAATAAAAATACTCTAAACACCGACTTACGACAACAAACACATACGTACTCTTTTCTCCCATTTTAATTTTAAACTAAACGTACACAAAAACAGACTTATGAGCAGCCACGACTAATCGATCCATCAGACGATGAATGAAAAGGAGTTGGATGAGAGATCTTCTGTCATTAATAAAAGCGATAAAACAAAAAACAGTATAAGGTGCTGCTGAGTACTATCCTTCCTCATGCCTGAAAAGACATTTTCTATCGATTGCCAGCACATTTGCTTATTGAATGATTTTACTTCCATCAGTAACAAGTGGGAGTATAAAATTGTAAAAAAAAGACAAATAATGAAAAAATGGGTAAGTAATACATGTATAAATAAATTTCCAATGAATGCAATTCATAAATGATAGACTCATTAATATTAAGTTCAAAAGGACGAACTTAATAATTACTTGTAATTGGTAATATAAAATTAAATTGTTATAAATTAATAACAATTTACTTTTACTATCGGGAAATTTCTAAACCACACAACCTGATGTATCAAAATACTGGCAATAGAAAAATCCATTGTTTTGCAAATTCTGGCTTCATCAGGACAGAAAAGAATAGTTAATCGAACATCACTGCATGAAATCCAATCGCATATTCAATTATATATTTTTTAAATTATAATTATAATCTCTCTAATTTCTAATATAATTATAATTGTAATACGTATTCTCAATAATAAAATTATATTTTTTTTATTCGTCATCAGCTATTGAGTAATCGGAACTTAAATTAAATTGCCTGCAGTAAGAATGTATTTAATGTTTTTAAATATTGTAGGCTTGACTTGAAACACCTTTTTTCGGGTAAAAAGTACGTCTTAGACTCGGGATCATATTTTTAATAATTTATTTATTAAGCATACATACTAAATAGTTATAAAAATATGATGAGAAAAAAAGTTGTTTATCATGACAAACTGATTAACACATTGTGACAAAAGGTATTTCATAAAATTCTCCGATCTTTAAGGTATTCGTATAAAATTGTCTATTTTTATAGAATATATTTTTATAAACACTATTCTAGCTTTAGAAAAAAATGTCATTATCAGAATTTTCGAGGTATCCAAGTTATATATATAAAAAAGTTTTCATTAAAGCGTACAATGTACATGCTGGAACTAAGAAAAAAATAATGTCTCAGTTAAAAACTAAGAAGTTTCCAAACCAGTAATCGGGTTAATTGCTGGAAAAGGATATTTATAGAAATTAGATCCAACATACATAAGTCAAATTAGAGTAAAATTTGAGGGAGTGAGAGATATGGCATTCTGAAGGCAAACCGGTGGACAGCAACCAGTTGTGGCGTAAGTGTCGCCAATCAGTCACCTACACGTTCATATCAAGGAATAAAAAAAAACTAGCTAGTTACCAGTTATAGATCACGTGACCTCAAAATGCCAACCAACCGCAAGGGTTCAGAGTCCCGAATTCGTTATTTGAGTGGTGTTGTACTTTTAGGCTTATATCATTATTTTGTTTTATTTATGCCGGTGGTCTAAGTATATCTATTAATTATTAATTGTATAGTGAATCCTAATTAACATCAGCCAGGAATAGTATTAAAATTTAAGAAATCTAATGACCTCGAAGGAATCTTTTGATCCAAAGGAACCTTTAATAGTATCTTTAATAAATTTCGCTTACAGCTGTTTTTATTTATTTTTTTCTCCCCTTCATAACCTTTTAAGCGATGCAGGATTTTTTTTCTGGGTCGGGGGAGAGGGCGAGAGAATTATTCCGAGTTACAAGTACCGGGCACGGAGATTTGAACTCCCCCGTAATTATTTTTCTATATCCAACTTCGGTTATCAAGTTGGCCACTCCGTCCACTCGCTTACAACTGTTTTACCATTTTACGTTACTAACGAAAACACGGTCGAAACATAACGGTAGGTCACAAGCTCTCATGATCACACTGCATTATGGAATTCCGAAAAGTCCTGAGTTTACCAATGTTTATGCAAAAGTAAACAATGTCCATCACTTCCTACTTCACCGAGTTAACCATAAATATTTTATTATAATAGAATAAGCCAAATTGGGACTACGCAAAGTACTTAGATGCGCTTTGCTAGTCTTCTTTTGCGCCTATATTTTTTTCATCCTCTTGTTGTATGTTTCTTTTCTTTCTTCGGGTCCATGTTCTTCCGGTTCTCTTTATGAGCACTTCTTCCATATAAGTTGACTAACTATGATCTAAAGATTTTCCTGTTTTTAATTACGTCGTGCATCTTCTCTCATGATTTGAGGTCCATTTATATTTCACTAATCCATTTTATAATGCCAGTTGCTGCTTTACTCCTATTCTCATAAAATTCGACTATGTGTCTGATAATAAAGTCAATATGCCTTCTATTGATATCCATAAAATTATAGTCTACACTTCTTTAAATCAGTGTGGACATCTGTGTATTGTTTTATTTCTTGGTTCCGCCTGAGTCTTTCAATCCTTCATTTTCAAATTTTATTTTATTTTATTTATTTTGTTATAGTTTAGGGTGCCACGTACGACATCACCGTGTTGCTGTTACATAACTTAAGTTAATTTATAAAGGTTATTGTTCTTCATAAATTGTAGGAAGTTCTTCTAATTTCTCTGTTCCAAGGCTTGAAGGAAGGCTTAGCAAAAGTTCTTGAAGAACACAAGCCCTGACAATTTTCTAGTATATATTTGATGGTCAAGGGTGTGTATCAACTGCTGCATCTTGGAGAAGGATTCTGTTAAGTCGCAATTAACTTTTATATTATGTTAAACAACTAATACCGACACAGTTTAATCGAAATGAACAAAATGGTTATGAATCCTTCAGATTTTCTTGTATTTTCCAGATTACTGAGCGTAATAATTACGCAAACAAATATGTTGAATATATTTTAAAATTAAGCATTAAAATGACGATGGATCAATTTAGGTAATAAGGTCCGATGTCACACTGAAAAACGCAGTTGGGAGTATATTTATATCTCGAGAGAACAGAAGTGCATTAATCGTGATTGAATTAAAAAATTAATAGCGATTAATATTTATTTGTTAATTTATTAAACACTAATAATACCAATTAATCCTTAGTAAGAAGAAAGTAGTGGACCATATACTCAATCACAGGATCAATTCGTGTAAGCAAGAAGATATAATTTTTTTTTTTAGTGCCGCCATATTAATACTCTTTAATATGCTCTAATACAACTCGTTTCAGTAGAAAGAAGTGAAGATCGGTTGTAATCGTTTACTTTCGGACCGACTTGACATTTTCGGGATTTCGTATACATTGTGAACAAGTGGGACTGTGTCCGGCCTCCAAACTTGGTTGTCTCCACCTTGAGAATCTGATTCGCAACAAAGGATACGTCAACGCCAAGTGTTTTTTATACAAAAATAAAACAAAAAAAGTTAACAGTAAACTGCAAAATTAAAACACTAGTAGTTTCTGACTTACACTCGACGTTCAAAAGGCTCTAATCATCATATGGCGGGCGAACGCAAAACACGCGTTCTCCGCCATTTTGATTAATTACGAGTTCGAGTCCCGATGCCAGGGGCTTTTAACTACGGAATTGATTCTCTTCCCTCTTCTTTGGCCTTTTTGTAAATATCTCGTCAGTTATCTGAATGGTAATAATCTTAGAAAATAGATTTTGGGCTCCACACAGAATTAGATCGTGCGAAAGAACTATAGTATTGCGATAAAACTATTGTTAATCGATAAAAACATTTGAAATAGACTATCCTTTCAGAACAAATGGAATCCTTTTATACTCAAAATTTGATTACCATTATATTTCTTATAGGGTAGTTACTTCACAATAAAATATTGTGTCAAACGGATTTTCCACTTAGTATACGTATTCATATACAGATGGTGGGGTAATAATAATGAAAATTTATACTAAATTCGTTCAATTAATTTAATAATAAACGTATTTTATTTTATTCAAAATTATAAATTCTTAATTAAAGTTTTCATAATTAATAATTTAGTCAATTTATTCTTTAATATTTTCAATTAAGAGAAAAAAAAATCAAATAACGGCTGTACATTTCGATTAAAAATTACTGAAATAAGCACAATATTCATTGATAAATACATTAGTCCTTTTTCATTTCTTTTTTAAAGATACATATATGATTAAGAAGGAAAATAATGTAATGAAAAAGAGAAAAAATATTCAGAGTGTAACCAGTGGTGGGACGACAGATTAAGAAATTCACTGAATATATAAGGCCATAGGAGAACGGCATAAGCAAGTTGAAGCAGTTCAATCAACCGATCAACATGTACAAGGTACCAGCATACACAAATATTATATATCGATACATCACCATACACATATACAATATATGGATACTTCACTAGACATATCTATATACTTAACTGAATTTATACTTTAGGTAGCCCTTTTTGCCTGTTTGGTGGGAGTAGCCGTTGCTCAGTATGGCCACAACTACGGACACCATGAAGAACATCACGTAGATTACTATGTAAGTTTTTTAATATATAAAAGCTTTAATTTTTTTTTAAATAAAATTGTTTGAGGTTTTAAAACCTAATTTCAGGCCCCACCTCACTACAAATTCGACTACAGCGTACACGATCCCCACACCCACGACGTGAAGAAGCAAGAAGAGACCAGGGAAGGAGACGTGGTCAAGGGCTACTACTCCCTCTACGAACCCGATGGTACCGAGAGGATCGTCCACTACACCGCAGACAAGCACAATGGATTCAACGCCGTCGTAGAGAGGAAAGGACACGCTGTCCACCCTCAGCATTACGGTCATTCTTCTGAAGCCTACTACGGACACCATTCTGGTGGATACTCAGGTTCGTCCGGTGGTTCCTCTGGCTACAGCGGTGGCTCAGCTTCCTCTTCGTCATCTTACCACGGTCGTTACTGATTTATAAACCAATGATTGTAAATAGCATTTTTATACTTTTTTAAAATAAATAATTTATATTTAAACATGCATTAATCATATTTTCAATCAATTCTTTAATAATAATTATAAATTCAGGTAAAGTGAAATGTATAATAACTAAAGTAGAAAAATGCTGGACTTCAGATAACATCTATAATACTGAAGTGTATACTCTAAAACACATTTATACCAACGCTTAGACCTACATACGTAAACTGCATATTGCAAAAAATGTTTTAGTACAAAGAATTATAATTAATACTCCATGGTACCTCACAAATATTAATTTACGCCAATAATTAATAACCACTTATTAACAAGGTATGACCACAATTAACAAGGCAGGAAACACAATAAGATTCTCTAGCTAAAAGAAGTCAGGAAGAAATAAAATTCTCTAGCGATATAGGGCAACTATAGCCGATATACTATAGCGATATCGGGATACTATAACGATAGAAGAAAATTAACCCATAGAAGATACATTATATGCAATAAAAGATGCTTTACTAAAATTATAATATTCACTCCAATAATTACAACAATTCATAAAAAAACAACGAACAGATATTTTGAATATCGATTTATATACTTCATTGATTTGAGTTATTGTTTCTAAATAATATCAGTTATATTAAGCTCTTTAGCTTCACATTCACAATCGCTGGTTTAATGGAACCAATTCTCAACAATTGTAGATAGTTTACGTCTCTCTATCCAAGATAATAAGACGATGTTGAACTTGAACAAACATGAGAAGGAAGAGTGAAAGATTAATGTTTTTTTTAGTTTTTTTGAGTACGTCGCAAATGTACTAAATTACTAAACCACTTCTATTTTTTTTTTTAATTTCTTGACTGATGCAACTGTATTTACTAAAATAACATGGAAGTAATAGAATAAATAAATAAATAAGAACGTAACTTCAGACGAATAGTGTGATATAAATCATCTTTCCATGGAACAGAGACAATTAAATAGAGAACTTATATTAAGATTCAGATAGATACTGTATAGCTTATAAATAACTTGGTTGGAACGTTGGTTGTTTAAAAACCTAGAAAATAACCAAATACGAAATTATTTAGATTAAGTAACATATCTTGTACAAGATTTGAAAATATTTAAAGAAGAAAAACGTTCCAAAGATCCACTTTTAGTACAAAAGTTAGGGTTTTAACAAGATACAAAATATGTTACACAAAAACGATTTTTTTTTTCAAATTATTTATCGAGAAATATTATATTCTATTTCAATTAAATAAATTAACATTAAGTAAGGTATCATACTTCTAAATGAATATCACACAGTTGTCCTAAAGTGAAATATAAAAATTAAAAATGATCAAAAATAGGAATCTAAGCATTAATCCAATTATAGGATTATTTACAAAAAAAGTAATTTTTAACATCTAAAGGTTCTTTCACTCCTCGAAGATCCTCTAACATGAGCCAAATCTGATAAAGAGCTACAAATAGTCGCTGAACATCTTCAAAAACTCTACCCCACATTCTGATGCTCTGTATCTTAAATTCAATAATACAATTAAATTTATCATATGTAAAACTTATTATGGTGGTATTACATATTCAAAAAATAATACTTTACAATTATCAAAGGAAAAAAACATCGTTTTTTTCCAAGCCATTTCCTCTTTGATCTAAAGATTGTCAAATACGCTGAAACTTCTTAATATGACTTCAGTATCTTATATACCATTAAAAATGAAAAAAAATATACATTGAAGTTGCAATGTTTGGGGAGATCTTCATCACAAACATAGTCAGAACAGGATTTAATTTTAAATCCTATAGTGAGTGATTTTTAAACCCAAACGAAATTGTCCTCCTGCTTTTTTGTTAAATGCAATCGGCTATATAGAACAAATAAATTTGTAGTACAAAATTAGTTTTATATTGTTCAAGGACAAATCAGATTTATAGCCTTTTGAAATTTGGTCTGCAAAAACAGTGTCTTAATTTGGAGCCAGCTCTAAACCGGTTATTGTTAGAATATCAGTGCTTCTCTTTTATTCGAAGGATTGTTTTGTTTGAATATTCATAGCTAATTGAGATCAAAGGACTAAAGTTATCTGGTCCCATGAGATTAACCAAATGAACAGAAGAAGCGGTACAGTGGAGCAACTACATGGATAAAATTAGAAAGCACTACAACGAGATAGGCAGGTTCTTCAAAAGAAAGATTAGGGGATAGAAGATTTATAGCCAGCTTATTGCGAAGAAAGAGAAAAAAAAATCAGTAAGATAAAAAAAAAGTTTATTGGCAAAGATTACGTACTACAGCCTTCAAAGTCAGGAAAGAGTTAATCTTGTTTGTATTATTGCTTTATTCGATCCATAAAGAAAAAAACAATAATAAATACAAACTATTACTTATGACCGAATTCCTGAGGAAACTAAGAGTGAATTATTAAATCCACCTTCTACATCTAAGAGAAGAAGCACTGATGAAGTTCCTTCTAATGCAAGGAACAAACAAAATTAAATGAGTTCTTTAGGGACTATGAGACTCACACTGGATAAGCCTCACTGCATATTTGAAAAACAGTGTAGCCACCATTGTGATAACTTTATTTAATTTACTTTTTAATAACCTCAAATCCACTTTTTGGAGGCTCCTATTGCAATAACCACATTTATTTTTGTTTATGATAACAAATAATGTTCTAAACCTAATTAACTTCGGAAGGCACTAAGTACTAAATAATAAAAAACAAACAAGTCAAAAACTTTTTAGAAATGCATAGCATAGCATGGGTTACGTCTTCTAATGCCAGACAAATTTAAATATTCTGTTTTTTACACTCATGCTTAATGGATAATTTTCTTATCCCTTAACATCAAACGCATCCAATCCTTTCCGTCCTAATTTCTCCGAACAATGGTCGATGCTCGGTTCTATGTAACCAACAAAACCCTACATCATGACCTTAATATTCTATTTGTACTAGACCTTATCCCTGAAAATGTTTCCATATTCCATCAGAAGCTTACAAATCATCCCTATATAGTTCCACTCATCCCCACAATCCTCCTCGAAGGTTGAAGCAGAAGTGGACCAGAGATCCATCATAGTATATACCTTGTAGTTCTGGCAATGGTCAGATTCTCCATTCAAGACATGCATGTGGCTAAAGCGCTCTCGCTTAATCTCCACTGGCCTTACCACCTTCTAGAGTCCTGCGTTTTTATCTATAGTTAGAGGGATAAACCAGGCTTGGGGTTTCCTGCCTGAGTGTATATATTTCATATACGTATGAATGTGTTTTTGTTTTTAATTTACTTATCTTCAGTAAATTAATTTTTTTTTATTGTCCACGGGATAGATTGTTATATTTATGAATTAATAAATTAAAAAATGCTTAAGGGACTAAATATCAGAGAATAAAAATTACATTTTTTTTCTTTTTTTTTCTTCTTTCAGTTTTAATATGTTTTATTTCGACTTTATTATTTAAAATTAAAAAAAAAAAAAATACTTCTACTCCACATGACCTTAAAAAATGACATCAGAGATAGACCAGGGCAGCGTGACATGGACTCTTATCGGACAGAAAGAAAAATAGAAATATTTGTATGAAAAATCTTCCTCACCTTAAGTCGGGTGATCTGGGATCAGAGTAATAAACAGGGAAAGAAAAAGAGAAATAGATTATAACTGGCCACAGATGCCTTTATCTATCTCATAACATGATGGATTGATATATAAAATCTACAAAGATGTTACAGTGCTGTATTCAGCAAACTGCGAAGCAGTAATGAAGAAGACTGGTTTAGGTGACAAAAGATTTACTATAAGGTCTGTAAAGCTAACGAAAAAAAATAATAAATAAATACTCATCATGAGTTCTATGCATCATGGACCAGTGATACAAAATACTTAGATAAATAAAGTTTTTACTGCTCCATTAAATAACAGGTAAACAAACCAGAATTAAATAATTATAAAAAAAAGTAAAAGCCTATTCCTTCTTTGGAAATGCAAACTAGTATCGAAACGAAACCATTTATGACATATAATTCCAACCAAATTAGCACATCACTTTCAAACCGGTCATCCACTTCCTAAGGAACCTTGGGCGACCTTGGCCTTGCCTTACGAGGCCGATACCAGCTTAACGGAATCAACAAAAGAAACGTAAACCGTCTGGTTAGATCTGCAGTTAACTAGCAATCAGAACCAGTTTCAGACAGTATTAAACCAACATTTGACGTTCGTTATGTGTCTTATATAATATAATAATTATATAAACAATAAATTAATACAGTTCACACTATTCGAGTGAAAAGTAAATGGAAAGTTAACATGATAAAAAGGTCTTTAATTATAATTACAGTAGATAATAATAATAAAAAAGTATTTATTAAGGTGTTCCTTTTAATTGACTGTCCTTTTTAATGATACACTTTTCAAGATCTAAATAACGTACATGCATTCGACAAGTTGACATTGATGCATTCACTCGATCAAGTATTAGTCAATGAAAAATACCACTTTTGGACGCAAGTAGTGGTGGGACGAGAGATGAAGAAACGATGCCAGTCCAGTATATAAGGCAAGAGGAGAAGGGCAGAAGCAAGTCGAAGCAGTCCAGTCAACCGATCAACATGTACAAGGTACCACCATACACATATACGATACATGGATACTTCGCCATACGTAGCTATATACTTAACTGAATATATATTTTAGGTAGCCATTATTGCCTGTTTGGTGGGAGTAGCCGTAGCTCAGTACGGCCACAACTACGGACACCATGAAGAACATCACGTAGATTACTATGTAAGTTTTTGTTATAAAAAAGTAATTTTAAAGTTATCTAAAGAATAAGATTTGAGGTCTTTTAATCTCATTTTAGGCCCCACCTCATTACAAATTCGACTACAGCGTACATGATCCTCATACCCACGATATCAAGAAGCAGGAAGAGACCAGGGAAGGAGACGTGGTCAAGGGCTACTACTCCCTCTACGAACCCGATGGTACCGAGAGGATCGTCCACTACACCGCAGACAAGCACAATGGATTCAACGCCGTCGTAGAGAGGAAAGGACATGCTGTCCACCCTCAGAATTACGGACACTCCTCTGAAGCCTACTACGGACATCATTCTGGTGGTTACTCTGGTTCTTCAGGTGGTTCCTCCGGTTACAGCGGTGGATCAGCATCTTCTTCTTCATCTTACCATGGTCACTACTGATTTACTTGCCAAATATGTGTAAATAATTTTTTTATACTTTTGTAATAAACCAAATTATTAAAAAAAAAAATCAAATTGTAAAACTTATTTATTATCGAACCTTAGATTTTTCAAAAACGTGGGTCTATCTTGAAAACGGAAAAATCAAAAAGACAAAACAGAGTGTAAAAAATTCTAAAGAAAACTAATCGTAAGCAATTGACGAAGTTTTTAGTACTTTTTTATTAAATAATTTTATAAGATATTTTTATTAAGCAAATTTTCGGCCGCTTCTAATATTTATCTATCAAATAAATCGATCATACATTTTCTATTTTTGAGTGTTGATTTTTAGATTTCTCAATATACTCCAATAGTTCTGGTATTTATATAATTTTTGTGATTAAATCAAATATATAATTTGGTCCGCAATACAAAGTATACGTAGTACGGAAATAAAATAATTTAATGTTTAGTAAGTAACTTTCAATTTACAAATATACATAATCAGTAATATTTTTATCCGAAGAAGCTTAGATTACCAGCTTCTAACCAAATATAATTAGAAATGTTTGGACTAAATGGGCCATGAAACCTGTACATTGAAGTATCAATTTTTTTTTTTTTTCGCATTATTACTTTAGTCACTAATTTAAAAGAGAAACCTACTTTTAAAAAGTAGCCCATGTGGTAAAGATTTCCATTTGTTGACGAAGGTAATTCACGAAATGGTGACTCTTAGAAACGTCTCTACCTATGATGGTTCTTTTCGGCAAAGAATCAAATTTATAAAAATACGTTGCAATATTTTATTAAATCAACACTTTTATATGTTTTAACATGGCCTTGATCAAGTTTTATAAAGTAGGATACTTAATTAATGTAATAATTAAAATTTTGTTTAAAATATTCTAATTAACTTATGTGCGAAGATGGAATACCTTTTTAAATGTTTTTAAGTATTTGTAAGAAAACTACTGATTTTCAAGGTATCAGTATATAAATATTAACATATATTTTTTTTCCTCATTGCATATTCTGAGCTCTTAAATGAACTTGTACCCGTTTCATACAGTTAATAATGATCCACTGAGAATTATGTCTGTTAAATTGATCACATTTCCCACTATGGAATGGAGACGTTTTTATAGGATTCAAACAATGAACGCGTTCGAATGACAAGCTATAAGTAAAGTACTTGCCCTATATGTCAGCTTTCTGTAATATTTTATTAAGAAAAATAAATGTATCACCGCAATCTACGAGGCGTTTAGGATTTAATACTTTCTAGAGAAGTGCTGTTTCTAGATCAATGGTAGAGCAAGAAGATAATAGCTGAGATCATACACAACCGCTTGGATTTTCCTCTTAATAAATTAATTAATTAAGACTACTTACATTATAGAGGGCAGGTGTGTACTAGAGGATCTCACGAGCACAGAGTCAATCAATGGCTGATGTAATAGAATAACTAACTAATTGTCTACCACAGGCGTAATCGAATCCGGTTTCGGATCCCAGGATCAGAAGAATTGGAGATCAGTTTCTTACTCACCGAGCTACTCGGTTACCGTAACATTTGAAACAGTATTAACAATAAAAAAATCAATGGAACTCACCAAGAAGAAATTTCGATTGATAATCTCCATGCAACAGCATTATTTTGCATGAAACGCTCTTCATCACTATTTGATAGGTTTTAAAATTTAATAGATCAGTGTCATAAGCCTATAGTAATCTCACATATCGTCGAAAAATTATTAAATTAATAATAGATCATACATCACATCCAGAATGAAAAGGACACTACTCAAAAGTTCTGAAATCATCAGACATTTAGGGATGATTTTCGTTGTATCTTGGATCATAATAAAGATTTTAGTCAAAATGTGTTTGTTATGGGCAATGGTTTCTGGAAACGTCAGCAGCCATTATAAACACATTTTGACTCGAAATCCTTGGTACCTACAATCCAAGATAACATCAGAAATATTAATGTCAGTATAGTCCCTTACAGTCTCAAATAATAGCCTACACAGAAATACACCGGACCAATAGACGTAACAAATAATGAACCAGCAACTTGTGTCAGAGAAAAGCCATACAACAGAAACATAGGTTTACTTAACCAAATGTTTTAACAATACTGAAAGTTTACTACTACGTGTGATGCAAAATATATTAAAACATTTATGAATAAAATAAAGATTTTAATAAATCTAATTGTTGTACCATTAACGATCAAAATGCCTGTTAAAATATTTTATTTAACCATTTGATTAATTTTACATTTAATAGGGATTAGTATGGATATAGATTAATACAGCACGTTTGGTACAATATTTTAATATGCTTCTGTAATTTATTATATTTAATTCATTATTATTGCTATAATTATAAAATTTCAAACTTGATAAATCTTTAAAACCTAAATCGGCTGACAGTCAGGAATGAATTACTGGGGGTTGATTAAAAGGTGATGATTGTTCAAAAACAAGGAGCTAATAAAATAGAAAAATACTCTACAGTAAAAAAAACTTTGTCTGAATTGAATACTTATAAGTGAAAACCAAAAAATTATTATTTTGGGTCCGAATAAAATTGAATAATGATTGAAGAGTTAGTATCACCTTCTGTATAGAACGGATTATGCCAGTCTGAAACGCTCAATCAAACAAATAATGTCATTTCAACAAACAAGTAATTTCATTCATGTCCTTCTTGCCCTCATTATAGTAAATAGCTATGACCATATTTTTTATATTTTATAAGAAACTATGAAGTGTTTCCTAACAAAATTAGTAGTTATTTACAATATTTTGAAAACTATTCTTCCTAAATGAGATTCATGACTAGTGACCTAGAGACTACAGTTTAATAATCCTCATAATCCCATTAGTTTTAATAAACTTTCTTCGTCTTTATGTTTAAATGAAAACCTTGACCTTAAATAGTAATTAACATGTTTATAATTTGATTTTAATATACTTATGTGTTATATACTTGGTGTGATTGTGTTCATATCTAACTATAATTATTGTCCAAGTGACAGATTATTATTTTTCTAAATAAATAAAAATTATCGATTTGAAAAAAAAAAAAAAATATATATATATATATTGTCAATAAAATGAGCTGATTATCTCTCTAAATGAAGACCAATTCCAATGTATGTTTTCTCATACTTTAATATATATTTTTCCTGTACTCTTTAATTTTTGGTATATTTACAATTAAATAGAGAATTTAAAAAAATCACTATTCAAAAATTAAAAATTAACATATTACAGTTCAAATTTTGCTTGATCTCAAACCATTTTCTCAGCAGTTTTTTTTTTTTTTGTTTTTGTTTTTTATAGACGTAGTGGTTTGGATTTCAGGTAAGACGATGTTCCTGTTGTCATTAGCAATAGCTTGAAAACATTAGGAAGAGAAGGTTAAATCAAACATAGAAACATATAAAGAGGGATATTTTTTTTTACATAATTTCCAAATAAATATAAACACAATTTCACGTTTAAAATTTTGGTGTTGTATTTTCCGAATTTGGATTAAAAAAATCAAGTAGAATAACGACGTTTTAAACCATGAGTAATTTAATATATTTATTTTTATAGAAGCTCTTCATATTTTTCATAATATTCGTAAATTCAAATATTTTAAGAATTATTATTAAAGAGGTCAGCATACGCTAATAGCTTTTTACATAGTTTGAGAATGAATTTTAGAATAATAAAATAATTATAATCTCAAGACTCCAAAAAAATTAAAGAATCAGATCATTTAAGTTTTGCCTCCAAAATATAGTGTTGGCTGCGCTATATATATTAATAACAACCAGCACCAACTTCTATTTAGCTTACCTGGAGAGAGCTCCATATTTACTGGAGAAGCTACTGTGGCCCTATGGAGGCCCTCCATTGGATATCAAATTCCAATGAAAATCAATGGATGATAGCATCAGACTCCAAAAGCGCCATGACAGCAATAGGGAACCCATGGCCAAGCAATTCAATTAGAAGAGATATATTGAATCTATGGTGGGAATTAAAAAAAAGAACTGTCAGAGTGATATTTGTCTGGGTTCCATCTCATAGTGGCATCACAGGCAATGAAAGAGCAGACCAAGCAGCTAACTTAGCAAGGAAGGGAGAGGCACCAGCCATAATTTCAATAAATTGTAGAGGACTGGGTACATGCATCAAAAAAGAAGTTGTTGGAAAATTGGGTAAATATATGGCAAAATAGACATTCAAAATTATTGGAAATAAAAGCAGACTGCAACAAGTGGGCTAGTAGCACAAGAATATCCAGAAGAGAAGAAACCATATTGTGTAGAATACGAATTGGTCACTGCCTGTTTACTCACGGGTACCTTCTCAGAGGACTAGAAGCACCCACGTGCGAAAAGTGTGACAATAAACCGCAGTCAGTAAA